TTTTTAAAAAAAACTCATAAATCTGTTACAATCATCATCTTACCTGTTGCCCTCTTTTGGTGGGAGATGGCTCTGTGTCTGATAGATCATCCCAAACCTGGTACAACGGTTCAATGAGCTGACCAGACCTGTAAATATACAGTTTATATTTACAATCCTGTTTGTGCAGACAAACAAGTAAAATGGTTTCACTGCTAAATTGTGGAAATAGTAGAAAGAGGACGAAACAGAATAATAGAAGTGAGAGATGCACTTAAACAATGAATGTATGGAAAATAATGGAAACGTAGCAGAGCTTCCCGTTCGTTTCTTTTAATGTGAGAACATTTTCCATGTCTCCAGCTTCTGCTGGAGCTGAAGTCACATGCTTCAAGTGGCTGATTTATTCAAGTTACAAAAAGTGTATGTTTTGTACTTTCAAGCACATGTTACCTAATATGATTTTAGCTGTTTGTTTACTCTCGTACTAATTTTCTTTTCTCATCATGGTGGAAGTGGGAGATAAACTCCCCCATGGGTGTTCACCAGCACCAGTGTCATAGTGAAGGATGGATAGCACCATCTTCATGGGTGCACATTAACTCGACCCCTCCACTCCAGAGACTTTGGTATCAGTATTGGTGATGGGGAACAAAGGGAGCAATCGGAGTGTGAAGAATGTCGCTTAACCCTAGCTGCTGAGTGCGTAAACCAAAATAAATGGAAACAAATCAAACAATGAGTGTACCTCTTGAGCAGGTAGGGGTCGAAGGGGAAAAAACTGTCGAGTGGGTTGGTGTTGGTGGTCACACAGTCTCCTCCTGCAGAGCTGCGGACCACTGGCAGCACACACCGGTTGTTCCTCTCTATGATGGTGTAGCAGAACACCACTTGGTACTTCCTGCAACAAAAACAACTGCTGGTAGGAATGACGAGGAGGGAAAATACCAGCATTTTATAACTGATGCAAAGACTTTCTTCTAGTCTACACTAGGGATGGGTATCGTTTAGGTTTTATCCGATACCGGTGCCAAACCGGTACTTTTGAAA